AGGATGTGCACCACTGCTGGAGAGTCGCTGTGAAAGTAGCCTCTGCTTTTGCCCATCTCTAATGTGCCAGTCGCTTGTCTTAGGAAATTTCCCAGCTAAGGGGACCTCCTGACTAAGAGTAGAATCATACAGGCATATTGATTGTATCAAAGATTCAATAGCAAAAGCTATCTTCTGAATGACTTAAAATCTTTTCACCAATAAATGCTTTGAATTCATATAGGATATGGGTTAGGATTTGGTTTCAAATAATTGCATATGTTTTGATCCCACATGAATCACTGGTGGGGTATTTTGAATTTGTGCATTTTTTATTTTATTATTTATTTATTTATTTATTTATTTTTATTTTATTTTTTTTTTTAATTGTGGAAACTATCTTTAACCTTGCAGGTGGCTTTGAATATAAGCAAAGTTAAGACCAATATTGATGGGAGGGGTGGGGTGTTGAACACACCCACACACACAGTGATTAATATTTCCATTGAGACACTTGGGGAATTAAACCAAGACACAGAGCAACTTTTCGGTTGGTCATTCCTTCTCTAGAACCAGAAGATGAGTTTGCCATCTCTAATGTGTCAGTCGCTTGTCTTAGGAAACTTCCTGGCTAAGGGACCTCCTGATTCTATGGTGCTTCTCTTCTTAGCACATGAGCTCCTCATTCTCTGCTACAGGTGGAGTTACAAGGCAGCAGAGTTGGCAAGATGGGGATGTATTGAATGTGGGAGCCATATAAACCTAGAAGACAAGTAGAACCAAAATGGATAATTAGAAGGGATCTTTGGGAAATAATCACTTATTTACATGCTTTCCCAAACAATTTTAAGTATTTCTCTTATGAGGAGTCTGTGCTACATATTTTTTTCATTCAAGACATTATAAAGGTATTAACACTGTTACATGCCCTGTACTAATGTTGTAGCAGTAGAATTCCATTTTAATGTTGACTACCAAGCCATTTTGATGTCTTAGGTCTCTAAACACTAAATTCTATCCCTATTTGTATTTATCTTTAAAAAGCTGCATTGATGGATTTCTGGCTCTCTCAAGAAAGAATATCACTGAAATGCAAGGCCTAGAATATAATTCAGATCATCCTAATCAGATTTCTCAACCACTGATCTAATCAAGCTAGCTGTTTTGCTTAGCTTCTTGGTCTAGTTCATTCATGAACTCGGAAAGCATTTACTGAATTTATGCTGTGTCTATCCCTGGGCTAGAATGTAATGAGATTAGTAAATGAATTGAGCCCTGTCCTTTAGGAGTTTATAGTCTTACTGAATGAAGTGAAGGAAATAATAGAATGCTATTTAAAATGTATGATGGCTTTACACTTGAAATATGTTACAGTTCTTTCCTGGCAGTTTCTCCATTTCAAAGATATTTTTGCCATTTTAGTCATCTTCAACAAAGTGTTGTAAAATTAATATAATAGAGTCATTGGTATTTCACAGTTTTACTGACTGTGGTTTTGAGTGGATTCTGAGCAGGAAAAAAAAAATGAGAAATTGAAACTCCATTGATTTTTGTATTGGAGCAAATTGAAACATAAAATCCCTGTCTTTCTCCGCCATCTCCCCCCAACCCCCACATATATACACCAACCCAAAAACACACCAAATTCTGCCAGACTCTAAAATGTCATCTTGTCAAATGAGATGAATCCAAATAGAAAACTTACATTAATTTATTTAAGGTCTGAGAAATGATGAAGTTGCTTTCTTATTTTGAAAGAAAATGTGTATACATATGTGAACTATTGGAAAAACATTTTTTCCCATACTTATTTAGAAGAATGGAAAGCTATAATCAGAAGATATATATATATATATATATATATATATATATATATATATATATTTTTTTTTTTTTTTTTTTTTTTTTTTTTCTCTCTCTTATTTGCTTTCGTATGTAATGATCCTTTGTGAGGCCCATTTACAGTCACCAACTGGCAGTCACTTTGATGTTTCTTACTTATATTCCTTCTAATTGCTATTTATATGTGTAGTAAATAATACAGTTTTCTTCTATTAATGTCATAGAAAACCACCCTTAAATTTGCTTCCACCATGCGGAATAAATAATTCACAAAAGCCCGTACTTAATCCTTTCTATTCACAGGCTGGGAAAGATTTGACTGCACTTTCATTGCAGGGTTTAGCCAGGGTTGCATGTCTGTCTGTCTCTCCTTGTACAGCCCCATTGCTCTTCTACGGACTCATACATTCCTTGCATCCTAACTTGATTATTTGAGCAATATGCCCCTCCCGACGGTCCTAATTAGGAAGCGTAGTCAGGTTTTGGTGATTGGAGTCTAGGACGTCTCATGAGTTAAACTCATTTGTCCTGTGGTTGTTGTTTTTTTGTTTGTTTGTTTTTTACTGTGGCAGTAGGTTGTGGTGAAACCTGTAGATTCTGACTCTACAGAGATCTGACTTTACAGTGATGAAAACTGTGATACAGAATCACTATACCAAGTCCTTCAAAGCCACGGAAAAGTCCTCACGAAAAATGCCAAAGAAGCTCCTTGAACTCAGCTGTAGGAAAATGCTTGGGGGATAAAGGATCACCATCTAAGAATCCTCCAGTATTCTTTTGTTTTGTTTTGCTTTCTGACTTAAAAAAATTATCTTTATTGTGGAGGCCAGCATTCTTTTCTTATTGCTCAATAAAAAAAATATTCTTGGGGTGAGGGGCTAAATTGATATTGTTAATTATTTGCTTTGGTGAAAGCGAGGAGAGAGAATATCATGGCCTCAGACTGTCTTCATTAAAGGCCCACATACTTGTAATGGCTCTTCAGGGGCTTATATAAAGCAAGCACATTGCCTGCTGCCTGGTGGGAGCTTCCGGAAGTCAGCTACGAGCAAGCTTGATGTGATCACTTCTGACTACCGAAGACCCAGACGCTATTTCTGGGACTTCCTATGCAGGAATATCAGCGTATATTAAGGGCTGGACGCTTGCTCAGGGCAATGTGTGGGTCATTGACTAGTGGTTGCACAGTCCTGGGTTCACTTCTGGATTCTTACCCAGCTTTTTTTCAGATTGTGGGCTGCTTTTCATCTCTCTCAACTTTATAAATTCTACTTCTGGGTGGAGTCTGCAGGGCTCTGTGACCAGTGCAGGGAGATCTTCTCTCTTCTAGGGCCCAAGGAAGCCTTTAGATTCTGCTCTCACTTCTTCCCTTTACCCCAGCAAGTTCCTTTTCCTTCAGTGGTCAGCTGAGGGGTTCACCACATATCTGGCAACACTGCCTGTCTTTCCCCCATCTCACTGTCTGGAACCTTGATTCTGTGGAGTGAGATGGGTGAAGGAGTCTGAGGGTCTGGGCCTCTCAAGGGACCTGGTGTGCTGTGGACCCAGGAACAGATAGATGGCAGATTTCATATCCTATGAAACAGGCTGCAGAGAGCTAATCGGGGTGAAGTGCACAATGAACTTGTTGACAGTTTCCTTCAGGGCTCCTCTTGATGGGCCTGGGTAAACTAGTGCTCTTCCTCCTGCCCGATCAACCTAAATTAAGAGGTAAACTGACCCAAGATCAAATTATCAGAAATTGAGATTATTTGGGAATAGCAGGAGAATTGCAATTCAGGACACGCAGACTTGTAGCAAGCTCCTGGTGAGTCTGTTAATGGTTTGGGGTGAGCTGTTTTTATGGGTAAAGCATGCAAGGAAACGGGAGTCTAGCCAGAGTCCAAAAAGCAAGTTCATTGGCTGGAGGGTGAGGAGAGATTCTTGGCAGATGTTCATTGGTCCAGGGGTAAGTTTTGGTCTCCTATACATCAGGCATTTATGGGAAATCAGTCTCTCAATTCTTAAGCTTCATTTTTCCTGAGGGCTCACGTTTGAGATTCTCCATTTCATGTTCTCCAGTTACATTTTAGATTGAAATCTTTTCAGACTCCCATAGAGATGTAAAGTTTAGCTTGTAGAAGGAATCTTCATGTGTAAATGCAAATTCCTGGGCCTCACCCTCAGATTAATCTAGAACTCAAAGCTGCAGCATCACAAGACCCACCCGATTCTAGCTCAGGTACTTACTTCTCAGAGCATATCTGGGCACTTTTGCAGGGGGAAAGCTCCTGGCCCTTCTAGGAGCCTCTTGCTAGTAGTTAATTCACGCGTGGGCACTCATATTTAAGCTCCAGAAACTGATTCCTGTTATTCATGATGATATCACAGGATCTCCCTGAGTGAACCCTGCTTTCTCCTCCTGGCTTGCTGTTCTTATTCTCCCCACTTTGTTATCTTGCCTCCCTTTCCTTTTCTCAGCAATAATCACATTTGCTTGCTAAAGGGGCTCCTCTTATTTCTTATCTTTGCAGACCAAGGTCAGGGCTTACTTCCTTAACTTTTCCCAGCTTTCTCACTTGAATCCTTTTATGTTCCACTCAACAAACCTAGAGTTCAAACAACATGTTCTAATTTTTCTTGCCGGGACCTTGGTAAGATATTGGTCTTTCTGTGTTTGAGATTTCTTGGCAGATATACAACTCAGTCTTCTCCCACTTAGAACCTCGAGCTCCTGATACAAATCTTCAAGAGAAAAGCCTGGGAGGGTGTTCCTAAGAGGAGTCAGAGTAGACTTGGTGATGTGGCCAGCTTGAGGAGCACTTTGTCTGGAAAGTGGAGGGATTTCAATAGAAGACCTCATGAGCCTGCTTTTCTTGCACTTTTACTGTCTGGAAGTTTTAAACTTGTCCAAGTATTGTGTCCACCCTAGCCCATCCTGCCCTCAACTTTTAACTGGGACTTACATTTTAATATGTGGTCTGGAAGTAATATTGTCCCAAAGTGTTCCCACTCAACCTTTCTGTCTTCGAGACCTGCTAACCTTCTGCCTTCACCCTGAACTTTAAAGAGATATATTCCAATACAGTTTGCACATGTAGAAGACTAGCCCATGCATCATTTCTACCCAATGGGAAATTTTTGCTCTGTATTACTTTCTGATGTGTTTTTTCTTTGTGTGTTTGTCTTCCTTGCTGCAGGAAAGCAATCTCTCGGACAGGCCTGCAGCACCTGACTCCTGCTCATCCCCTCGGTATTCCTGTGGCAAATGGTCCAGCGAAGGAGCCCAGAGCAACTCTGGACTGGAGTGTAGGTGTTGGCTTTTTTACTTAAACATAATTTGATTGTGTGTGTGTCTGTCTCTTTCTCAGGATTCCTATAACTAAAAGCAAGACTTAATAATTTTCTTTTTTTATATTCTTATTTTTCAATTACAGTTGACATACAATATTATATTAGTTTCAGGTATAAAACTCAGTGTAGACATTATATAACTTGCTAAGTGATCATCTTTATAAATATCATACCCATCTGACACCATACATAGTTATTAGAACATTATTAACTAATTCCTTATGATATACTTTACATCCCCAAGACTATTTTCTAACAACCAATTTATACTTCTTAATTTATTCACCTTTTTAATCTACCCTACCATCACCTCCCATCTGGCAAAATGTTCTTTGTATCTATGTGTCTGTTTTTTGTTTTTTTTGTTTGTTTGTTTGTTTTTCTACTTGTTCATTTATTTTGTTATTTAGACTCAGTTGTTGATAGATGTGTACTTATTGCCTTTTTATTGTTCTTGTTTTTAATCTTTTCTTTCTTCTTCTTAAAGAAAACCTTTTAACATTTCTTGTGACATGGTTTGGTGGTGGTGAACTCCTTTAGCTTTTTCTTGTCTGAGGAGTTCTTTATTTCTCCTTAAATTTTTAAATGATAGCCTTGCTGGGTAGGGTAATTTTGGTTGTAAGGTCTTAATAATTTTGAATGTGGCTCACCGACCAATCTTCACATATCTAAGCCATTTTCAGAATCCTAGGAACATAGCTTCTTTATATGAAGTTAGATGTGTTGAAGACTAAAATAAAATCCTTATGAATCATTTGAAGCACTATTGTCTGGGTGTGCAGCTGTGAGATAAAAAGTACCTCTGTGCACATGCTTCTTTGGCTCCTCCAAGCTAATGAGGAATTAAACTTATCCTTAGCAACATCATGGAATCTAAGTTTGATTTCCTCGACTCAAGCTTTGTCTTTTTGGTACTCCCCCCCCCCCTTTTTTTTTTAAAAAAAATTTATTTATTTTTTAAGGTGGATGACCTTACTTTAAATTCTAGACACTTCATGTCTCCAGTCTGTTATACTTCCTCCCCTAACCCAAAGATGGATAGATTTTGTATTAGTGGGAGTGGGAATATTTACTGATGTTAACATTTTAACCAAAATACATCCATAAAAAACTGTTAACTGGAGTTGAAGATTGCAGCCTGAAATTCTTAAGTCAAATAGAACATTTATTGAGAGTCATCAGTGAGTCAAGTTCTTGATGGAAGACATCTCTAACTGGATTGAAAGGCTTTTTTCCTTCCTGTGAGAGATGACATGGAAGGAGAGGAGGGCTGCTCTGAAATTCTGCCTTTTTGGTCTTGATGGTAAATCTTGTTTAGAATTTGTAGGTGAGTTGACAGAGGGGAAATTCATGTGTTTTCTTCTCATAAGAAAAATATGGCAGGGTAGGAGAAAAGAGAGTTTAAAAATTAAATTAATTTTTTTTTTTAGTACATAATAAAGGCCTGGTGCATGAGATTAGTCCTTCAGCCCGACCTGCACCCTCTTGCAGTGTGGGGTCCCTTGGGAGATGTCCAACTGATGGCTTAGGGGAAGTGGGCCTAAGCCGTCAGTCAGACATCCTTAGTGCTAGTACAGAGGTGGGAGAGGCTCCTGCCACTGACATTGTACTCGCCAGTCATGAGCCCAGCTTCTGGCTGAGCGGTGCTCCCCCTGTGGGAACACACTGACCACCAGGGGGCAGCTCCTGTGTCGAGCATCTGCCCCCTGGTGGTCAATGCATGTCATAGCAACCAGTCATTCCACCTTTGGGCCAAAACCAGCTCTCTGACATCCCCTGAGGGGTCTCAGATTGTGAGAGGGTGCAGACCAGGCTGAGGGACTCCACTGGTGCATGATCAAGGCTGGGGAGGGACTTGGAAGGTTGGCCAGCCAGGGAGGGATTATGGGAGGATCCCAGGGTGTGTCCAGCTCATCTTGCTCAGTCCTGATTGGCTGGACCCCAGCAGCAAGCTAACCTACTAGTTGGAGTGTCTGCCCCCTGGTGGTCATTGTACATCATAGCGACTGATCAACCTGTCAACTGTCTGCCCCCTCGTGGTCAGTGCACATCATAGTGAGCGATTGAGCGGCCTTAACATATCATTAGCATATTACGCTTTGATTGGTTGAATAGCTGACCGGATAACCGGATACTTAGCATATTAGGCTTTTATTATATAGGATGCCATGATTTAATGTCCTTTGATAGTACAATATTTCTCTTGCTCAAGCACACACCAACCTTATTGTTTTACATCAGTGCTGAGAGTTTGATACAATCTGAGTATGTTGCAGTGTTCAGGAGGAATGTTTCTCTCCTGGAATTTCCCTTTATTCCAGGACAGTCATGTAATAAACTGTTAAATCATAGTATAGATTAGGGTATAAATACACCAGTGATTACATAATTAAAAAGATTTAAATGTATAAACAAACAGATAAATAACATCCAAAAATGGCATGCATGGACCCATGATTAGAATGAGCATGTGTTATAAATCAGGGACCTCAAAAAAGTAGTTTAATATTCATGATGTCCCAAACAATCCTCTATTTGAGAGGCAAGACTCTAATGAGAGAGTTTAAATCATTTAGATAGAAACCTTCATGAAATCTTTTTTCTTCTCCTTATGGGACATTAGTCAAGACACTTGGACTCTTTTAGCCTCAGTGTTCTCATCTGTAGATGGGGACAATTTTGGCCCCTCCTAAGAGGAACTTCATGGATATTGTTAGGATCAAATGTGGCAGTAAATGTGAAAGTTCATCATAAACTCTATAGCCTGCAGAATTATTTATTCAGAAATAAAGTAATTGATGAATTTATTAATTCATCTCACATTTGATTACTTGTTTTGTCCTGGAACTGTGTTAGTTCCTTGGAATTCTGAGGTGAGGAATATGTTTTTTCTCTGAGAAGCTTAAAATGCAGAGTGGAGAGAAGAAATCAACAGGTAAAATATCACTGGTGACACCTAGAATAAAAGAGTACAGAGATCATCACTGGAGTGTGAGGGAGGACACTTCATCCCTGTTTGATGTTGGAAATAGTTATTAGAAATGCTTTTGAAAGGTACGTATCACATGATCTCACTTATATGTAGGATATAATGAGCAAAATAAACCAACGAACAAAAAAAATCCAGAGACATGGAAGCATGGAGCAGGCTGATGAATATCAGAGAGAAGAGGGAAGGGGGGCGATGGAAAGAGATTAACCAAAGAATTTATGTGCATATATGCATAACCCATGAACCTAGACAATACAGCAATTGGCCGCAGGGCAGGGTGGTGAAGGGGGTCACTTGAAAGTACCTGTAATACTTTCAATAACAATGATACATTTTAAAGAAAAGAAAAAGAAATGGGTATTTGAGAAGTTCACTCTACTGAGGGAGTAACCTTATTAAAGTGCTTTAATTACACAAACACACACAGAATTAAAAAGGAAGTGTCCTGCTTGAGGCAAAGCTTGATTTGTACATAAAAATTTCTGATTTCTAATATTTCATTGGAATGGTATTTCGGGTTGATGGTGAAAGGTACAGTACCCCATAGGAGAAGAGTTAATAGGAACAAAGGCTGGGTTCATGTGTGTTGATTCTTTATTCCCACTCTCCTTTGTGGGCACCCTGTCTTAGTGGCCTGTGGCGTTATCGTGTTGATAGGAAACGCTTTGGGAATTTTAACAACTGAGGGTAATCGAAAAGCCTTGTTTCAAAACACTTCAGCTGGAGGTTTATTTAGAGAGATGCTGTGTAAGGAGTTTTAAGACCTGACTCTGAAAAACACATAATTGTGGGCTAATATTGCTGTTAGCAAACAGAAGCCAAGCAGTGACCAATCCTATCATTTCTTACTACAATCATGTGAAATATTTTTCTCAGAGGAGAGGAAGAAGCAGATTGTTGAAAACATTTTAGTGACTTTCTGATGTTGAGTTGCATGAGTTCCTTATATGTTTTGGTTATTGGATATATCATTGGTAAATGTCTTCTCCAATTCAGTAGACTGTATTTCACCTTGTTGATGGTTTCCTTCACTGTGCAAAAGTTTTCTAGTTTGATGTAATCCCATTTGTTTATCTTTGCTTTTGTTGCCCTTGCCCAGGAAGGCATTGCCAAAAATATATTACAAAGAACAGTGTCAAAGAGTGTAGTGCCTATGTTTTCTTCTAGTTTTATGGTTTCAGATCTGACATTTAAATCTTTAGTCCAGTTTGAGTTTATTTTTATATATGGTAAGAGAGTGGTCCAGTTTCACTTTCTCGCATATCTCTGACCAGTTTTCCCAGCACCATTTATTGAAGAGATCTTTTTTACCCCATTGTATATTTTTTTGCTAAGACTTTACCTGGTACTTGCCCTCACTTCAGAATTTTTGGCTTTTCCTAATGAATGTGCTTTTCACCCATTTAATTATTTCATTTTAGTTTACATGTCTATTCAAAGAACTAAACCAGGATTTTCTTCATTCCGTGTAAAGTTTAAGACTAGTCTTCTGTGTGACCTATTCTAGTCACTTGTCTACACCCCTATTTATCTCCCTCTTTTAGCCACTTTCTGGACTAAATGTGTTCAAGGTATCAAGCTTTCCTTATCACTGCTGTTTATAAACATTAATTTGAATTGGAGTGCCTTAAGAGTCTCAAAAATGCAGAGGAAGATGGCAAGAATTTAAAAAGTAAAATAAAATAAAGAGGATCTCCAATTTCTTGCTATTGGTGAGGATAAAGGTCCTGGATAATGCTAAGTTATACTTTTGGCAGAACAGGGGTGGATCAGGGCTGGCAAGAGTCCTCTTGTTCTCCACCCACCTCCTTTGACTCTCAGGTTGAAATTCTTTGCAAAATACCATTTGGGTTGAGTTCTGAGTCACCTCAAAAGCCTATAGTACTATGTCACCTCTCCTCTCCCCATTTCACCAGCGAGAAAACAGAAAAGCTGTTCATGGGACCCCTGAAGTTGCAAGACA